TGGTGTCCCCCCAGCACAGTGTTCCCCGGCTCCCCCAGCCCCGTGTCCCCCCAGCCCAGTGCCTCCCCAGTTTCTCCAGCTTGGTGTGTGCAGGACCATGCCAGTGCAGCGTCCCTTGGCCCTCCCAGCCCAGTGTCCTCTGATCCTCTACCCCTCTGTCCCTCCAGCTCTCCGAACCCGGTACCCCCCTGGCTCCTCCAGCCTGGGGTACGTCCCCAAGCCCAGTGTCCCCCTTACTGCGTCAGCCCACTGTCTCCCCAGGCTGAGCATCCCGTGGCTCCCCCAGCTCAGCATCTCCCCAGCCTGTGCCCAGCCAGGTCCCAGCAGCAGCACACTGGGGCAGTTGAGGAAGGGAGTTTATTTGCAATAAATAACAAGCAGGAGGAGGCACCACCAGGTCCTGCCAAGCTGGCTGGGCAGGCAGTGCAGGTGAGCCCAGGGGGTTCCACCCCGCTGAGGGCACGGACACCTACAGGTCCGTCCTGGTGCCAGGCGCTGTCCCTGTCCCCCCAGGAGCCTCCTGCTCCCTGCCGGGCAGAGGCTTCAGGCTATAGCGAGCACTGATGTTGGTACCCGAGACACTGTGATACTCGCCCATCTCTGTACGGACATCTTCATTCTGGGTGATGGTGAGCAGGACCGGGACAGAGAGCGTCACCTCCTTCCGCAGGACCTGGATGCTGAGCACCGTGCGCGGCGGGATCTTGGCTGGCAGCTGCACCTCCACGCGTTCTCGGCGGGTGCTGGATTCGCTACGTCCTTTCTGCACCGTGAAGACGTTAGAGGCTTCCACAGTCAAGGTGAAGGAGACCCCAGCCTTGAGGCTGGTGGAGTTGCTGAAGTGGAAGCTCTGCCAGAGCGTGGTGCTGTACTCCCGGCTGCTGCTGGCCGTCAGCACCTGCTCCGACTCCGTCTCATTCACCCCCTCGATCTCATCCACCAGCACCTCCCGCTCCTCCTCCACCTTCTTCTGCTCCCAGAGGAGACGTGCTGAGACCAGGGGCCGCCCTGGCTGTAGCGGGCGCAGGTGGGACAGCCGAGACTGGAAGTTCAGCTCGGGTTTGTAGTCTGCAAGACGCTCTCCAGGCCACGCCAAGCAGTGCCAACCACCCCGGCCGGGATGCTGGTACAGCAGCCAGACGCCTCGCTGCACCACGTGAGAGGCCACCCGGTCGTTAAAGTACCCGTAGGCCAAGTTGGTCTCCTCTGTCACCACCTTGCAGGCGCCTTGGAAGTTGGGGCGCTCGTAGAGGGTGATCTGTGGGTCCCCCAGGTCGTGGTGCACCAGGCGCAGCGCCGAGAAGCTGTTGGGCCGCCCCACGGAGGGGTACTCGCCCTCCTCGAAGGCATGCGGCTCCCCCTCGTACTTGGGGTCCGTGTAGGCGATCCAGGGCTGCCCCACCACCTTCAGGGAGGCGATGCAGTCCCCGAAATCCAGCTCGTGCAGGTCGGGCACGTCGCAGGTGAATTCCCGGCTCAGCCCCTCGAAGTTGGCCCGCTCGTACACCGTGATGCGGTTCATGGCGCTGTGGGCACCCACCTGTGCGAGGGCACAAGCCAAGTCCCCTCCTCTGGGGAGGCGTGGGCACTACGGGAAGCCTGTGAGAAAAGCCTGGCCAGCAAAGTGCACCCCCCGACACCCCCTTTCCTCCCCTGCTGTCCTCCCGGTCCCTGCGCTCTCGCCGTCGGTGCCGGCAGTGCCCCGCCTCTGCCACAGCCCTGCTTTTTACAAGGGGGTGGCGGGGCTGGGACCTGCTATGACATGAAGCGAAGGCGATGACAACGCTGCTGGTCCCGGGCCCCCCCCCGGGGGCAGGGAGCCGGTCCCGGCCCCGCACAGCCCCGGTGGGTCGGGATGACAACCGGTCCCACAGACCAGCCCTGCCGGAAAGTCCTGCCGCGCCCCGGGCACCCGGCGCTCCAGCGCTAACGAGTCACTGCCAATTATCACCCATGTTTCCGCCCTGCCTGTGCTAATTACGGTGTGTGTTGCCGGTGGGGCAGGAACTGGTGGCTCACCCCGGCGGGGTGAGACGGTATCGCGGTGGAGCGAGGCAGCGCCCCGGGACAAGCCCCGCCAGCACCCCAGTGACCCCAGGCGCGGGACACGGCCCCTTTGGCACGGCATCCCGTGCCTGAGCGTGGCCCGGCAGCTGTGGCACTTCTCCCGTCTTGTCCCTCCACGGACCCCGAGCACGGAGCACCCAGGGTGGCCATGGCGCTGTTGGAGGTCGGTGGGTGCTGCTGCTGAGCACGGTGAGTACCTGACCCCTGGGCCAGGGCATGGGGATGGCTGGTAGCCACCCGGAGCACAGCGTGCTGGAGGCTGCTTCACGCCACCATGTAGGTCTGCATGGCACAGATCAGAGCACACGCCTGCCCCACTGTCATCCCACTGGGGCCAGATCAGGCAGCCCGAGGGCGTCTGGGGCAGGTTGAGCCTCTGGCTTCTCCCATCTGCATGCCCACACCCAGGAGCTGTCTCATCCCCCCAGCACAATGCAGGGAGTGGGGAACCCCAGAACTGATGTGGGGTACAGCTGGGCCCTGATGTACCCCCCACAGCCCCTGGGAAGGGCTGGTAACAGCCAGGACCCCCAGCGCCCCTTGCTGCCAGGGAGTGGGGCCAGCCCTGGGCGTGTGCAGTGCCCCAGTCCCACCGGGAAACCAGGGTTTGGTGCAGACCCTGCTGCTCCTGCAACCTGTCACCCTCATGTCACCCTGGCAGAGGAACCCAGGTGTCCCTGAGCCCTGTCCCTTCCTAAGCCCTGTCTCCCGCAGGCAGGTGCCACCCCACATCTTGCCCTCCCAGATGGTACTCCCTGTCCCTTGCCCACAGTGCCGGGGCTGCCAGGGTCTCCCAGTTTATTGCCAGATGTCGGGGCGGTTGGGGTTACACCAGACAAACGCTACAGGAAGCGGTTAGTGAGCGGGGGGCCGCGGGGGGCCACGGG